AATCAGGGAAGAGATGAGGTTTTAAAGAAAAGCAGAGAGTGTTTGAGGAGTAGTTATGCTGGGACAGAACGTCAGCAGTGACAGAGGAGGAGCTTGCAAATGAGACACTGGAGTAATCAGAAGCATGGAGGAAATCTAAATGCAGAGTCATCAGAACTAAAACAAGAGAGTGGGCTTAAAAAGTCTGTGGAAAATAGGATTAAAAGAGAATGCAATTTTTCTGTGAATACTTTGAAGGCCTCTTGTATCTGTAGAAGGAGGAAAATGGTCCACTGTGCCAAAAGTTGCTGCAAACTAAAGAATGGAAGACCATCCTTTGGACACAGTGAAATGAGAAGTCAATTAGTATTAATAAGGACAGATTCAGATACTGGTTATACCAGGAATCATATTAAATGGGCTAATAAATGAAAGGAAAGGGAGACAAGGGAGATAAGTAATTACACCTCTTTCTAGACTTTCAGCTGAAGGAAGCAAAGAGACTTAGTTGAGGGTTAGGGAGAATTTTGGCATATATAGAGAGAATGGAGATACAAGGGGGGGAAATTACTAATAAATGGAATAAAACTCACTGCCATCAAGCTGCATTGCAAATCACAGCAACCCTATAGGATAGAATAGAACTACCCTATAGAGTTTCTGGGGTTGTAAATCTTTACAGAAGCAGACTGCCACATTTTTCTCCCATGGAGCAGCTGGTGGGTTTGAATGACCAAACTTTTAGCTAGCAGCCAAGCATTTAACCAGTGAGTCACCGGTGCTCCTTCATAAATGGAGTAAGGTCTCTAAAAACGAGCGGAGATGGAAACCGCAGCGTGGTGAAAGGATTAGACTTAGGAGGAAAGGCACCTGCATTCACTAGAAGAGGAAGAAAAGGATGACACAAACGAACATAGATCTGATACGAGGAACTTGAGGGAGATCCTGCTTGATGGGGTTTATTTTCTTTGACTCATCAACAACTTGTGATAGGCAGATGACACAACCTTGCTTGCTGGAAGCAAAGAGGACTTAAAATACTTACTGGTAAAGACCAAAGACTACAGCCATCAGTATGGATTGTACATAACTATAAAAAAAACAAAAATCCTCACAACTGAAATCTATAAATAACATCATGATAAATGGAAAAAAGATTAAAGTTGTGAAAGACTTCATTTTGCTTGGATCCACCATTAATACTCATGTAAGCAGCCATCAATAAAACAATATACTGTATTTGGCAAATCTGTTGCATAAGACCTCTTTAAAGTGTTCATGAGCAATGATATCAGTTTAAGGACAAAGGTGTTCCTGACCCAATCCATGGTATTTCCAATCACTTCATATATACGTGAAAGTTGGACAATGAATAAAGGAGACCACAGAAGAATTGATGCATTTGAATTATGGTGTTGGAGAAGAATATTAAAAGTAATATAGAGACTATCAGAAGAACAAACAAAACTGTGATGAAAGAAATAACGCCAGAATGCTCCTTAGAAGCCAGGATGACAAGACTTAGTTGCTCATACTTTAGACATGTTAGCATGAGGGACCAGCCCCTTGAGAAGGACATCACACTTGATAAAATGGAGGGTCAGCAAAAAAAAGATGACCCCCCCAATGAGAAGGGCTGGCACAGTGGCAGCAGCAATGGGCTCAAGCATAACAATTGTAAGGATGGCACAGGACCAGGCAATGTTTCATTCTGTTGTGTACAGGATCGCTGGAAGTCAGAACCCACTTGACAGCACCCTAACAGTATCAACATTCTCTTTGAGAAGTAGCAGGTAAATCATCTGTTAAGAGTGAAGGAGCCTAAAGATGGTGGGTGGAAGAGTTGGAAGTTTGAGAAGACTTGTAGTTGTTAAGTGACGTCGAGTCAGTTCCAATTCATTGTGACCCTGTATAGGGTTTTCAAGACTCTAAATCTTTGCAGAAGTAGGAAGACTTCAGAAGAGTAGAGATTCTAAATTGTCACCAAGGAGAACGGAGGAGAAGAATCTGAATATCCTTTCATCTCTAATGTAAACTATGGACCCTGGTGACCATCAGACATGGTTAGAATGTATGCAGAAAGGCTAGGTTTTAAAAATGGGAGTCTTCCTATTGAGCTTTAATAAGTACATTACATTCCTCAGTGCATAAAGGAGAGGGGTCTGGATTTGAACATGTAGTAACCTGACAGAAATATCAATCAGTTCATTCCAAGAAATGTAACTGAGGTTCATATTTTAGTAAACAGCTAATACTAAAACATGACACTGAAAACTATAATATGTAATCAAATTGAGAATCTAAATTAAGGCAAAATAATGCAGTGAAAAAAGCCCTAAGTTGTTGTAGGTATTTATTTAGAATTTAATTTCTAGTATTAAGTGTTCCTTTTCAATTTGTTTTGGGTCAAGGGGTTATTGACACCATAAAAAAAGAGTTAATAAAAAAATCTGTTCTGGGACAAAGATGTGCTATTATGTTTTTCATGAATACATGTTACTGAAAATCAGATCAGCTGTTAAAAACAACCATTTCTAGCTCATTAAAGGATGGCCAATTACATCAAAACCTATTTCCTATTGTGTTTTATTTTCCAATTAGTCATGTTCTATAGACAGGAGCAAAGGTTACAATATAAATATATTTCCATATCCGTAACTGCTTAGTAAAAGACCTAAGAGGTACATAGGTTCTTACCCACTAAATCACACACACTTCATTCCCAGATTCTTTGTAAATATTACATTTACTTTCCCTCTTTTGTTAGCCTTAAATCTTAAGTGAATGTATGACTAAAAGCAGATAACCAGTTTTAATATATGGGACAAGAGATACCTACTTTTATGTAGATCTGCAATAATTCAAAAAAATTTTCAATTGACCAAAATACACATGAATAGTAATGCAAGAAATACAAACGGAAACTACAAGAAGATATTTTTAAATTATGAGGATTGATGAGGATGTGGGGCAATAGCAATGGGCCTACATGGGGAAAGAACTCACTGCCACTGAGTTAATTCCGACTCACAGAGACCCTGTATAAGGTTTCCAAGGCTATAAATCTTTACGGGAGCAGAAAACCACATCTCTTTCCAGAGGAACAACTAGTAGGTTTGAACTGCTGACCTTACAGTTAGCAATCCAGTGCTTATCCTACAGCACCACCAGGACTCCTTGCATGGGAAACAGAGTAGTATAATATCTCTGAAAAGCAAATATTTCAAGCTAAAAGACTATATTTTCCAGTTTCATTTGCACATTAGCACAACAGAAATAAAAATTATAAGAAAACCAACTGATAGGGAAGAAGTCTTCACACCAAGTATCAATCCTATCCCCCTCTGTATACAGAGCTGATAGGGAAAGGCAACTTAGACATTGGCTACCTAAAATAAGGGGGTGATAAAGGCACAAAGTAGTCAGTCGACTTACAAGTTTTCAAGAGGGAGTTTAGTTTCAGAGTGTGCGGGGGGAAGGTAGAATCCCCACTGAATAGTTCTCATCTTATCTGGATGGGTCTGGTGAAAAGAGATGGGGATAAAATTCTTGTGATTCAATAGTGAGTAATTTGTTATCATGACTAACTGCAACTGTCACAGCAGTAAAGGTAGAAGTTCTGTAACAAAAAGAGGGGAGTAGTTAATCCTACAATCCAGGAACAGAGGACCCTAGGACCATATAGGGAGAAGAGCATAAGCCGAATGTGGGACCCTATCCAGAGAAGCAGCAACACTAGAGATGGAGCAGAGATGAGGACATGGAGAAATAGAAGAGTTGAGGACTCTAGACTCATGGAAAGAGAAAGGCTGTGTGCTTGTGGCCAGGAGGCAGACTTGCAGCATGTGCCTTTGGTTGTTTATATTATTATATATTCCTGAGTGTTTTTGTGTACATCCAAAAGAAAAAAACAGAGGGAATGGAAGCAAATATTGTTGAATGATGATGCACGGAGAAGACTGTTATCATTGCAATGAAACGATGTATTTTTGTAAAACTGATGTTCTCCCATGTAAACTATCACTCACAATAAAAACTTTAAAAAAATAAAATAGAGGGAGGGGATGTATGTGTATTCATGTGAAGAGAAAAAAGTCTAAAAAGCAAAGTGATCAGGGGTTATTTCTACTTCCTTTATTATTGACTGATTTTTCTTTTTGTTAACAATGAGTACGTATAACTTTTAAAATCAGAATAAAATATGCCTTTTATTTGGAACACACAGATCTAAAGAGACAATGTATTATTCTGACTTTACCATATGATTTCATTAAAAGATTCTGATTCAACTACTTATTATAATGACTGAAAGCTATATTTATTTTAACTATCAACAATCTCATCTTCAGTATGAATAATTTATTTAAAACAGAGGTAAAATCTATTTGATTCTTTAACATATAATCATAGAAACAATAGCTTGTTATATAATGGACAATGTCTTATTGTAATCTATTGTGATAGTAACTTACGAATCTCAGAGGTGAGTATCAAATGATATTCACAGGAGCTTTATGCTACCGATACTAGGAGTAAAAACATATTTAGGAAAATCTAAGCAGACTATTCATAACACTCCATCCTCAAAATCTTTTACAATTAACATAAATAAGGGACCTCTCCTTAATCACACATAAGCACTGCAAAAAATACTTAACTAAAATGATTTACGTATTAAATAACAAAACAATATAAAATATTAGTTACTTTTTCCTCCTAAAAAGAAAGTATCATAGTAAAATTATTATTTTTTTAAGTTCATGAATCTACTGCATAGAAATAACTATTTACCTAAGCACTCAAAGGGACCCAAAATGTTCATGCAGGTTGGCAACTGCTTAGATTTAAAAGGGGCATGAGGATGAGCAAGCTAGCCATGTGTTCTCCTAGCTTAATCCTCTGACTCGTGACTTATAATCTTCATCCTCTGGCCTCCAAAAACATTGCCTCCTACCAGGTCCCCACCATTTGACCCCTAGGGCAGAACTGTGACTACTTCTCAGGTGAGGATAAAGACCTACCTTCCCACTGGCCTGTCAGCACCAAGGTCCTATTTATTACCACATCGATTTCTGTAGCCCCATCTTCAACAGCCAATCTGATCTCTTCTAGTCGTGTTTTCAAATGAGTCTGTCCAGCTGGGAAACCAGTGGCCACTAGAAGAGATTTTTTAAATAAAGAAAGGAGGAGAGGGTGAAAGGAAAAACAAATTTCAATTGATCAGTTTCTAAAAATAATTAAGACCAAAAAAAAATGAATTAAAAACTTCATGCATATACTTTAAAGCAATTGTGAAGAAAAAGAAATTTATTTCACAGTGTTGATGTTAGGAGAAATATTAGCATCCTATCCTCCAGAAAATCAAATTAAGTTGTTGCACAGATGTTCATGAGAATGTCTTAAGTAACCAGCAATAATTACGTTATTGTCACAATGGTGTTGCTGTTGTTGTTAAGTGCCATTGAGTCGGTCCTGCAACATGCGGCCTTGCATAGGGTTTCGACAGAGTATCTGGTGGGTTTGAACTGCTGACCTCACAGTTCAACAGACCTTGCAATTGAGTGCTTATCCCACAGCACCACACCAGGACTCCATACATATTAGGAAGTTCTTATGGCACTGCAGGATAAAGCACTGAACCACAAGGTCGGTGTGAAATACAAGGTCAGTGGTTCAAACTCACCAGCTACTACTCCTTGGAAACCCTATAAAGGGTGGCTATGAGCCAGAACCGACTTGATAGCACTTAACAATAACAACAACAAAAATGACAGCACAATAATTGTCATGAAATAATAACTGCAGCCCTGTCTTAATGAGCACTAGACCCTACCCTTGATCAGTTGGTTATCATTGTATTTCTTGAGTTACTCATTCATGAATCTCTCCAGCAGTTACAAGTAAATTGTAGTATAGGCTCCTCAAACAGAGGAATAAATGAAAAGAATTCAGAAAGAAAAATAACCTATTCAGTCCACAGCAGTTAGCTTGTGGTGCAATGATTTGCTTTTTTAAGGCATTTCTCACCATGATCTTTTTACACCCTCAAAATGACTGGAGGGAACAATGCAAGTAAGATGCATGTGGCCCACCATGGTGATTGGACAGCCTGCTAAAATGAAAATAAGATGCATGGCACCCTTGTGGGGGGTGGGACCATGCCTATATGGTGTATGAAAAACTAACAAGGGTATTGGTTATCCCAGAGGCAGAAAGGAAGACCTCACTACCACCAAAATCAACCAGGAATAGAATGCATCATTTGGACTCAGAGTCCCTGTGTAGAGAAACTCCTATATCCAAGAGGCAGAGAGAGAAAACGGTAATATCAAAGACAATATGAAATGGCAAGAAACTACAACAGAGAAGTGGTGCTAGGAAAACCAGTAGACCAGCATAAGATAATGCAGCGGGCTTCCCAGATCATGATGCAAGGTGACTACAGTGGTCCAGGGAGTGAAAGAACTGAGTGCCAAGGCTTGCAGAAGACATGGGGTGCCTCCAGGCACTTATTGGCAGAGCTACGGAGCTTTGGAACACTTGCCTGAGCAGGGCAGTGGCCAATGGGCTAAGGGCCAGAGAGAGGCCTGCCTCTCTCACACAACTCAGATGGAGCTGTCTTGATCCAAGAACTGTATCCTAAGTCAATCCTGATCCTAAACTATAACCTGTAATTTCTCTGATAAACCGCATGGTCTTAAGTACTGTCTATGAGTTCTGTGTGGCCTTTGTAATTAATTATTGAACCCAGCAGAGGAGAGTGCTATGTATGTGGTAGGAAGGGGGCTAGAGGAGTAGGGGGAAGAGCACGGCTTGTATTTTAAAGGTTGGCGAGAGGAGGTTATGTCTGACCTCCTCCTAATAGGAATCAGCCTTGGACTAATGTTGATTTTGACTCACCCCCTCGTGAAGTTAGAGAAGGTCAGATGCCACCACACCATGTTTACAGTTCACAAAAAGTGGGTGGGGATTGAGTTAGGAAAGGAAGAGGCAGGTATAACTAGACAGAAAATTAAATTACTATATTTTTGTCAAAGTTAATTTAAAAATATATACATGTGAATATTTCATTCCATTCCCACATCTAAAGTTAACTATTGTGTCTCCTTGATGTTATTAAATTCCTTGAAACGGCCACCTTAGAGGAAAACACATTTCCCAATTGTAAAAGGAAAAGCTGAGCTGGCTGAGGTTGATGAGAAATTAAGGTTCACAAAGGTATAACTGCCAGGTACTTTGGGAATCCTCACAAATAGATCATATATAAATATTACATACTATGCTTCTTCCGATGTATCCCTGATAAAATAAATTAATATTTTATAGACTTTAGTCTATAAAATATTCTTTATAGACTTCTCTTTTAAAGCACCAGGATTCTATTAGAAGCCGAATCTAATTGTGTATCTACCTACTCACACACATGTAGATACCCTAGAGCTTTTAAGATTTTCCTCTCCCTCATGCCAAGCCCTACTGATTCCACGCTATATAATTAAGTCTTGAAGTGCCCGCTCCCTTTCATCTTCTATCTCCCACGTGAAATGTCATGAGTCTCCCTAATTGCATTTCTACCCTTTTACAATTTGTCCACTGCTATCAGATGGCACTTAACAACAACAACCTCTCATTGACTTACTATCCCAGGAAGCTGACCATGTCATACTTCTGCTGAAAACTCCATCTGCAGAATAAAGCTCAAGTCGCACATAATGTGCCACTTCCTACAGGGTGTAGTGCAAATCTGCTTCTCCACCTCCTAACTCTAATTTCTCTCCTTTCACACTTCTTTATGATCCAACATTTACAAACTACTTTCAGTCCCTCAACATTTTTTGTCCCTTCACAAATGTGATTTCCTCTGACCAATATTTCATTTCCCATCTTATCAATACTACAAACTCCTCCTTATATTCTTAAGATTGAATATAAGTGTTACCTCCTCTATGAAGCATTCCCTGACCCTCTGGGTATTATTAAACAACCTCTGAAGAACAAGTCATTCCCTGATTAGAGTTAGAACGGTGTCTTCTACATATCTCTACTATTATATGGATCATCTCGCATCATGAGATTTTTTTTTTTTTTTTTTAATTTGGCCATCCCTCTTAACCAAATGAGTTTCCTTAAGGTCAGGGATATAACTCTGCATTCTTGAGACATAATAGAGTATCTGCTACTTACTAGGCCATTGTTGTTGTTGTTGTTAAGTGCCGTCAAGTCGGTTCCAACTCATAGCGACCCTGTACAGGGTTTCCGAGGGTGTAAATCTTTACGGAAGTAGAAAGCCTCATCTTTCTCCCGCGGAGCGGCTGGTAGTTTCGAACCACTGACCTTAAGGTTTGCAGCCCGATTCGTAACCACTACGCTATTAATAAATACTAAAATAATGACTAACTATAACTGATGAAATATAGAAAGTTAAAATTATGGAATACAAATATGTATGATACCCTAAAATGTCTGAGTCGAAGAGCTGGATACATGCTAAAGAACAATAGCTAAGGCCACAATCCATTTTACCTGATGCTACAGGAATGTTGCAGCCTGCAGCCCTCAGAGCCTTGACAGCATCACATACTCGGGCAGGATAAACACAAACAGCAGCTGTAGTAATGCCTACAAAGGAAAAAAATCATAATAGCCTATTTTATACAAAGTTCAATGGATACAATATGCTTTTTAATTATTATTTATATTTCAACATTGACAGGAATTAATGCTGTAACAAACTGAAAGGTTTTTACTTTTCACATTCCCTTTTACTTCTCAATAACATGAATCACTTTCTTATCATTATAGCTATAGACTAAAACAAGTTTGATACAATGTTCTTTGAGGTTCATATAATAGCATTGTTGAAAATACCTAACCTGTAAACATAATGGTGGTCAATGAGACTATTTTATTTCATGTAGATAGCAAAAATCCAGGTTTCTGCAGCATTCAAGTATGAGAGTGGGTAAAGAAATACAAACGAACTGTAAAATTTTGAAAAAAGTAAGACCACATAGGATGGAACAACCAAATGACATTTAACGAATTCTATTAACGCTTTTTAAGGAGCTCTGGTAGCGCAGTGGTTACGAATTGGGCTGCTAATTTCATGGTCAGCAGATGCATGGGAGAAAGATGAGGCTTTCTGCTCCTGTAAAGATTTACAGCCGTGGAAACCCTGTAATACAGGGTCACTATGAGTTGGAATAGACTCCATGGCACATAGCCACCAGCACCATTCGTTCTTTTTGGAGAAAGATGAGACTGTCTATTCCCATAAAGATTTACAGTCTTAGATACCCTATATAGGAATTGACTCAATGACAGCGCGTTTGGGTTTGGTTTTTTTTGGATTCCTTCTTCCAAGGAATCCTGGTGGCATAGTGGGTTAAGTATTGAGCTGTTAACTGTCACTTAGAGGTTCAACCCACTAGCTGCTCTGAAGGAGAAAGCTGAGATTTACAGTCCTGGAAAAAGAAAGAGGCTGTTCTATTCTGTTGTAGAGGGTCACTCTGAGTTGAAATTGACTGAATGGCAGTGGGTTTGAATTCCTTCTTTGACAGAGCTCTGATAGTACAAAATGTTAAGCGGTTGGTTGTTAACTAAAAGGTTGTGGTTTGAACCCAACCAATAGCTCCATGGAAGAAAGACCTGGTGCTCCACTTCTGTAAGGATTACAGACAAGAATACCTAAGGTCAATTCTATTCTGACACATAGGGTTGCTATGAGTCAAAAAATTATGCAGAGACACCTAACAACAAAAACACACTCCGTCTTTTTGCAAGAAATAACAAAATCCAAAACAGAAGGGAAAGCCCAGAAAGGATATAACTCTGAAATTTTAAAAAGCACAATAAAGTCAAATGGCCTTTTCTGTTATTGTTAAGTGCCGTTTAGTTCTGACTCACAGAGATTCCGTATTGGGTTTCCAAGGAATGGCTGGTGAATTTGAACCACCGATACTTATGGTCCAGTGCTTTACCCTACAGCACCACACCAGGACTCCAAATAGCCTCTACTAAACATAATATCGTAAGACATACAAAGTCACTACTTTGAAATGTTACAAATAGGGTGGTGGTATTATTGTCAACTTAAAAGAAGCATGATAAATACATTTTTTTAAACTGTAGTATTGTTTAGGTCTATAAATATTCTATAAATTATTTGGGATAAAATACTTGTTGTATTGGGCTAACTCAACATCTCAATTCGCACTCACTACAGACGAGCACTCATGAGCCAAGAAGCATCCTTCTATAAAAATGAGATCTGGCTCCTAAAGCCAGGCCAGTCAGCAACACGGCATATCATCTTGGAAAAGTCATTCTAGGTATGTTTCCTTATTTAGAATATAAGGGGATTGACTCTCAGAGATCACTCCATTTCTAAAATGTGAAGGTTTTAAATTTATGGCAACTTTAGAAAGTCCCTTCTCTCATGTATGCTAAGGGAATGAATATGGCTTTTTTCAAAAGATCTAACCTAATCTACAAGTATTCAATATCTTCCATTTGCATTTTATTCTCAAAAGTATTTCATTTACTCACAGAAAATACTTTATGTATGAGATGTGATTATTAAGTAATGAGACCAGCTTTTTCACAAGCAGCTAGGGAATCAGAATCAGTATTTTAGATAGAAATTTTTCAAAACTGATGAACTGGAAAAAAAATATAAAGAAACTTTCTACCCGCAAGTTTAATTCATGATGAAAAGAACTGACCTAAAAACAAGAAGCAGATTCTCTCCCTGTTGTTTTTCACAGAAAAATCAGAATGAAGTGTCTGTGCACACATGACAAGAGTTTCTCTTATGGATTTTATAATTATCTGTTGCTGTTGTTGTTGTTGTTAAGTATCCGTGAGTTGCTTTCAACTCACAGTGACCCAGTATAGGCATTTATAAGGAGCAGCTGGTGGGTTTGAACTGCCAGCCTTTCGGTTAGCAGTCCAGTGCCTATCCTACAGCGCCACACCAGGGCATCTATATCTTATGTTGTTGTTGTTGTTAAGTGCCGTCGAGTCGGTTCCGACTCACTCAGACTCTTTTTAACTTGGGGGTTTTGCACCTTTAATTGTTGTTGTTGTTGTTGTTAAGTGCCATCGAGTCGGTTCCGACCCATAGCGACCCAGTACAGGGTTTCCGAGGGTGTAAATCTTTACGGGAGTAGAAAGCCTCATCTTTCTCCCGCGGAGCAGCTGGTAGTTTCGAACCGCTAACCTTAAGGTTCGCAGCCCGATTCGTAACCACTACGCTACCAGAGCTCCTTATATTGCTCTTAAAATAGTGACTAGTATTATAACCAGATAAACACTGGATAGATTATACACACCTTGATCATGCATATCTAAAGCCTTTAAGAGATCTTCCCGGATTGGATACTTGGCTTTATAACAGAGTCTTTGAACATTGGAAAATGTATCATCACCAGAGAGTGTAGTAAGATCTATAAAGGTAACAGCTTTCAGGAGCCAAGCAGCCTGGTTTGAAAAAAATTAAAATAAGGGAAAAAAATTAATCTTCAATATAGCTAAAGAATTATAAGAATAAGAGTTGCTAAGTTCTGATGTCTACATTGTTTTAAGGCATATCATTCTTCTATATTATATAAACATGGCTCAAGAGTGATTAATACGGTAAATATTATCCAATTTAAAAACAAAAAAAAAAGGAGGTGGGAGTAATCTTGCTCTAGTCTTAAAAAGAATCTTTCTCTTCTAAAGTTATTCCACCTTAAAACCCCTAATAGATCAAGTCTTCTAGATCTCACCACGATGTGGGAGAACTTGGGAGTAAGAAGATTTCTTAGTTATACATTTTACCTCTAGTCCTGGCATCTAGGATGAGATCGTATAAAAATAAGAGACTCCAACTTCCTTTTTTTTTATATAAAGTTTAACCCAATTCCATTTTTAAAGCAACATTCATAGCTCACAACTAATTCCTTCTATCTTTCCAGCCAGAATACTTCCAAGAATGAGCAAAATGTCAAATGTCACCCTAGCGGATTCATTAACAATATTCTATCTCACTTGTAAAATGAACTGAGTTTCTTTCAGTCTTGCAGTGCATAGCACATCTTTGGTTGGTATAAAACGAAGAATATGCTGACCACAAGTACTCCTGGAAACATCATGCATTGAAAAATGATTTATGAAAATTAATAACAAAGTAAACAGGATGGTCAAAGAATGTCAACTATTATACCTAAGGGTCTCAACAGTGGACATACCAGCTTTACATGCTACGGTTTTAAAATTAAAACAGGAGACAGCCAAAGAAGGCATGTCTAAGAAACTGAATAAATGTGTTGCGAAAATATGCCATTTACTTCACTCATGAATAAAGATGTCTCAAATTCATTTGCGGTTTTGCCACTCAAGAGTGATAAGATTTTTAACTTGTTTGGATAAATGTGTTATCTTTCTTCAACCTATCATCATCACATATGAATTATTAAAATAAGTCATGGACAGCTGCAATCTTAAGTTTAGATGCATCTTGAACAAAATTCAATATTGCGGCCTTGAGGGAAGAGACCACGCATTGTAAAATACAGGAATAGAAGGCTCAAGAAGAATCCTTACTTGCCACTCATTCTTCACGGTTCTGCGAGCCTGGATTTGTTCGGCACGCCTCAGAACTGCTGGTTGATTCACTTGTATTTTGGAGATCCAGCTAAGATCTAAAGGAGAAAGAACAACATTTTTTAAAACTTACAGTTTTAGTAAATATACTCCCTTATTTTTATATGGTCTTGGAAAGGATACACTTATCATTTGGCATCAAAACTCTTTTAAAAGCTTATGTTTAGCTTTCACACAACTACAAATAAGTAACCTTAATGAAGGAAGCCCAGTCTTGGAAAGTCAGGCTTCCTTTAAAATAAAGTACATTTGGAACCAAAAGACGCTATTGATTCACTGCACGTACACATCTAAAATTGGGAAAATGTGCTACCCATGCCATGTGCCTCACTTCTGACAGCAAAGACTTATTAAGTGTGAGTGTTCAGTCCAGGAGAGCAAACTATTAATAAATCCTTCAATGAATTAATGTTGAAGCTAAAAGGAATCTTTGATTACCAACCCCTGACTGACAAGATTAATGTCTACTACATATTGACACAGTAAGCCCATTCTTTTTCAAAGGAGAATTTTTCAAAATGTTCTAGAAATAACAACAACTGACATAGTAAATGTTAGAAAAAGGGCAGAAAACAAACACAACCATTCAAAATTCCAGAAGATACCTCTGTTTCTTGTGTTCTGAAATGCCCTCTCCTATCTCATTCCCACCTTTCATTTTCTTCCAGGTGACAAGACATTTCTACAGGATTCTGCCTAAATGTTAGCTTTATGTAACATTGTCAGTTTCCTAAGTAGAGCTAGCATTTAGATATATACCTCTCTAAGAGAGAACATATCAAACTGTATTTAATTCAGCAAGGCGTCATGGTAGAATTGTCTCTTGCAGTTATTATGCTGTGAGTCATGATCTTATTCATCTTTAAGTGTCTAACACTAAATATACTGTCTGGTGCACATGTATTTAAACTACACCCAGTAACACTCTAAAGTATATGTGGTGTCACAGTAAACTGAGCACATGTACATTTGCCTTCTGTAGCAGGTAACTAACCATATTTCTATACCCCAGTAGCAACTCCATGTTCCTGAGGAATCATCTTCTTAGAAGAGCCTTGAAAATCGACTGTGGAAAAGATTATTCATTAGAACGTATGTCCCGATTTTTTTCATAAATGATTATTAAGGAAAAAAAAAAAACTGACTGCACATTCTACTGAATTAAAACACACATAATGAAGTGATTGCATCTTCAGTAAAGAGAAGACCACAAAACACATAATCACAAAGCATCATAATTATCTCCATTTGATTCTTCTTTAAAGTATCATTATTAAAGGTGCAAAGGAGCTCTGGTAGCGTAGTGGTTACGAATCGGGCTGTGAACCTTAAGGTCAGCGGTTCGAAACTACCAGCCGCTCCGCGGGAGAAAGATGAGGCTTTCTACTCCCGTAAAGATTTACACCCCTTGGAAACCCTGTACTGGGTCGCTATGGGTCGGAACCGACTCGATGGCACTTAACAACAACAACAACAACAATTAAAGGTGCAAAACCCCCAAGTTAAAAAGAGTCTGAGTGAGTAACAATATTTTTATTTAAATATAACTAAAAAATGAGCAGAGTTTAGAGGGGTTTTTTCCCTAATTAAATTACTTTGTTAGCTGAAATAATTCAGCAAAACAGATTTTTAACATTTTAATCCATCTGCTCTTCAAAGACAGTATATGTTTCCCTGCGTATTTCCTGAGTCAAGGGAATTCAGAGCCTAAGGTCAGGCAAACGAAATCTGCCTCCTCTTCCTCATCTGAAGACTGATCTGGTTCTAGGCAAATCCCAAGGGAACAGTTACACTAGGCTGACCTCAATTAATTTAAGACTTACAGGAATTTCCTTCTTACTAAAGTAACAGGGGCTCTTCTTTTTTTTTTTTTTTAATAATAGTGATTAAGTTCATGACAAAGATGGTACCTGGCAGACAGTAAAAATGTGTGCAATACAAGGCTCCCCACCAAGCAGCTGATGACAGTAGTCAGAAGGGGAAGTCAATGACTAGGTGGGGCAAGGCATAGTGGGGCTGCCCTTTATCAGTCATATAACAAGTCCTCTAAACTCCTCCTCTTTTTCTCTGCCCCACCCACCACCACCATCTTCACTGGAAGCAGTACTGTTGGAAACAGTTCTCAGACAATTCTAGGACTCTAGCATCTGGCTCCCTCTTCCTTCTCATGCCCTATCTTCTGCCTCTCTCTCCTGTAATCCTGAGGTATTGTTGTTGTTGTTGTTGTTATGTGCTGTGGAGTCTTGGAAACCCTATGTTGTTGTTGTTAAGTGCCGTGCTGCTGAGTCGGTTCTGACCCATAGCGACCCTGAACAGGGTTTCCGAGGCTGTAAATCTTTACGGGAGCAGAAAGCCTCATCTTTCTCCTGCGGAGCAGCTGGTAGTTTCAATCTGCTGACCTTGCGGTTCGCAGCCCGATTCGCAACCACTACACTACCAGAGTTCCCTATACAGGGTCACTATGAGTCGGAACCGACTCCACTGCACACAACAACACAACATAGCCTTTCTAAACTACTGGAATTTCACTGACACATGATGGCATGTCCTGTCTCTGGATTTGTGCATGCTGTTTGTTCTCTCTGCCTAAAATGCCCTTCCATACCTTGCCTGTATACTGAACTCTTGTTGTTAAGTGTTGTCAAGTCAGTTCTAACTCATAGTGACCCTGTATAAGGTTTCCGAGGAGCAGCTAGTGGGTTTGAATTGCCGATCTTGTGGTTCACAGTCCAGTGTTTATCCTATAGTGCCACACCAGGACATTTGAACCAGACTCAGTTCAAATGTCACCTCTCTATGAACCGTTCCTGTAAATCCTGGGTTAAGCCATTACTATTCCTTTGCATCTTTATATCATGAGACTTTAGTACAGTGCTCATCGCACTGAATAGTACTTATTTGTCTAAATGTTTATATCCCCAACAGAATTTTTTGTTTTAATCCAAGAAAATTAGCTAACACATAGGTAGCATTCAAGTTGAATGGCTCCCAACATCTATTCCAATTGCTTTTGATTAGTAAGACCTTTTGGGTTGTCACAAGAGAAACTGGAAATGGAACCATGAGTGGTATGCCTAAGAACCTCAGGACATTCAAACCAATACTTAAATCCCCATCAAAGGTTAGAACCCAGGAAGCCAGAGGCCCCCTGCACATCATCTATTGGAGAATGTAATAGGATTACTTCTCTCATGATACCAGCCTCAACTGCTAAAAGGCTTATTGTTGTTGTTGTAAAGTGCCATTGAGTTAGTTCCGACCCACAGTGACCCTGTATAGGGTTTCCAAGGAGCAGCTGGTGAGCTTGAACTGCCAACCTTGAAGTTCAAACAGCTTTGCAGTCTGACGCATTAACCCACAGCACCACACCAGGACTCTAAAAGGATCATTAGTGGTCATAAAATTATCCATCCCCATATTTAATCCAGCCACAGCAGTTGCCTCTGTGACCTCCTATGGCAATGAATTACATAAGCGACTATCTCCTTTTATTAGCACTTAATTTGCTACTCTTTAATTTCATCAAATAACCCTTGTTCGTTTATTATGAGTCTGGGGAAAAGAAGGATTGATTGGCCTTTGTTATGTCCTTCATAATTTTTTATATTTTATTCAAGTACCCTTTAGCGTCTCCTTACCAGGAGAGGTGATTCTAATGCACACAATCTCATCAGGACCATAGAATCTTCTTATGGGGCCAGGAGGGGCTCCAAGTACACTTGCCATTGGGGAGAACAGACATGAAACCAGAAATGGAAGGAGATAATACGTTTTCCTTAAAACACTCCAGTGAAGCAAACCCCACTGTTTCCCTTAGTAAGTCATTTGGAGACTTTCAGGCCTTTCTGTCAGTTATAAATTTGTCCTCAAATACTTTTCTCAGAATTTTTTATTATTATTTCTCCTATTCAAGTCTCAGTGGAGGCAGAGATCATTTTCCCTGTATATCTACTTTCAAGCCTCTCCATCACTTCTATTTTCTGTAGATGTTCTTGCACTCCTATACACTATTGCTAAAACATAGAACAAATGAGAACACTATAAAAGAAGACTCATTGTGAATTTTTTTCTTGTACTCCTATACACTATTGCTAAAACACAGAACAACAAATGAGAACACTATAAAAGAAGACTCATTGTGAATTATGGTTTTACCTTTATTCTTAAGAATTTTCTCTCAAACTTTTGGAAAAAGAAAAAAGATTAAATTTCATGTTTTCTTTATACATTATTTCTGGGGTTTTATATCTAACTATACCATTCTGCTGTGTGTAAGGTTGCTATGAGTCAGTACTGACTGGATGGCACCTAACAACAACAAATACCATTCACATTTGTTTCTTAGTATTGTCTCTAAACAGTCATTTCCTGTTAACTACTTGTATGTTGTTATTAAGTGCCACAGAGTCAGTTCTAACTCATAACATCCTTGTATAGGGTTTCTGAGGAGCAGCTGGTTGGTTTGAACTGTCAACCTTGTGGTTAGCAGTCCAATGCTTATCCTACAGACCATATTGAATCGCAGAGCTTACCACTGAGGGTCTCTTCCTATTATATTCATCTAACTGTGGTGCTGTAGAATAAACACTGGACCACAAGGTCAGTTTGAACCACAAGGTCAGCAGTTCGAATTCACCAGCCGCTCCTCAGAAACACTACATAGGGTCCCTATGAGTCGGGAACCAACTCAATGACACTTTACAACAACTGTAGATTATTTTTGTCTTTCTTATTTTCTATACTAATTTACAACGTCCCAGGAATTAGCTATATCCTGTTGTGGCGCAAAGGATAAACACTAGACTGCCAACCACAAAGTTGGCAGTTCAAACCCACCAATCACTCCTTGGAAACTCTATACAGGGTCACTGATTCAGAACCAACTTGATAGCATTTAAACACAGTGCCTAGCACAGGAATAGGTGCTTAGTAAATGTTTGTGCCCTTTTTAATCACAGCAGTTTTTTGAGGTTTTTTGGGGTTTTTTACATCAGAGAATGACTTGAAAATGTCTAATTTTTCAACCTTGCAAAAGGTTAGCTTGTAAAGGATTAGCTTTCAGCGGTGAAAAGGGTTTGCATGGTTGGAAAAATAAACCCTAGTGGTCAGTACTAACCTGATCTATCCAGGCACAATTTATAAATCAGCCAACTAGGCTTTGTGTAGTTCCTAAACCAAAGAGATACAAGACAGATATGCTGGGGACCACATGTGTACCAGCAAGTGCGGTCTGGAATTCATTTTTCTCCCAAGTTAATCCCAAATGTGTTAGAATACAAATGTAAACCATTGGGTGTTCAAGGCTATAAACTTTTGGAAGCAGATCTCAGGACTGTTTTCCATGGCCCCTCTTTTTTCCACAGTAGCAAAATGCTTAACCGTTTGTGTCAACCATGGACTCCTGAAAGTCCCTTAGTTATGACTTTTTCAGCTGTTAAGGACTGAGCTTTTAACCTCACTGGGGTGGCCACATCATCCTGGTTTTCCCAATATTTACAGCATAGAAAAAGTTTCGCAAAATAGTCAAAAGAATCATAAAGAAATGTCTTATTTCAGATGAGACGCCTTTGGAGAATTTTGAGCAAAGGGTTGAAATGATCTGATTTACATTTTAAAAGAATCCACCTGGCTGCTGTGAGGACTGTTAGGAAGCCAATTAGGAGGCTAATTCAAGAGTCCGGGCAGCAGCTAGAACTAGAACACAAATAGTTGTGGAGAGTGGTCAAAATCTCATGAGCCCACTGACTGTAGAATTTCTCTTCTATCTTTAAATTTTTACTTCAAACAACTAACAACTATTCATTCTCTGGTGCTATTATTCCCATCTGGGGAGTGAATAGGCAAAGAAAAGTTAATATTCCAAAAGTGGCTAAAAGGTTCAGAAAGAACAAAATATTCAAGGTGGAGTTTCCTCTGCTTACTACCCAGAAATGTCCTTAAAGTCTCCATGTCGAAGAGTTCACAGGTTAGAGCAAACGATCAAGGCTGATTATCTGACATTCTTCCCAACCATCCCATACTCTAAGTGACTAAGATAAAACCCAAGCAAACTCCTGATCACACAGTCAATTCCAACTCTAAGTAACTATTGGAGTAAAATTTACATCTTCCCAAGACAATCAATGTGCTAAGTGTTTGGTTCTCCCTGGGGGTGGCCTATCATCTTGCTTTTCCTAGTATTTACAGTATTTAAGTTTAGCAAAACAGTCAAGCAAATCACAAAGAAATAATCTTATTTGACAAGTTTCACCTTATGAAAATATTATTTTGTGTCAGAATGGAGGCAAAAATACATTCGCTTGAAAAAACAAAAAACATTAACTTGAAACTGTGGACTATTGGTGTGGTGTTGTAGGATCAGCACTGGATTGTGAACTACAAGGTCAGCAATTCACACCCACCAGCTGCTCCTTGGAAACCCTAGACTAGGTCGTTATGAGTTAAAACCGATTTGAAGGCACTTAATAACACCCAGTGGTTACGAATCGGGCTGCTAACCTCAGGGTCAGTAGTTCAAAACTACCAGCTGTTCTGTGGGAGAAAGAAGAGGCTTTCTGCTCCCGTAAATATTTACAGCCTCGGAAACCCTGTTCAGGGTCACTATGAGTCGGAACCGACTCCACAGCACATAACAACACCAACAACAACAATAACAATTTATATTAAATTATTCGCGTGTCTCGATACAAAAAAGAGAGAATTGAGAATACCATCCATTTATTGGATATGTTCAGTTCCAAGCTTACCAGGTACCTCAGCACCTGCAGAGAATATCTTTTCCAATTAAAAATATCATGCTCCATAGAGAAGAACCAATTAAAAATTTCAGCAATTTAAAATTTTACAACCACAAAATGCAACTTTGAAAAAGACTGGTGAATATTTTAATAATTTAAAATCTAAAGGCACGTTCTGCATAAAAACATCAATGGCATGATATTGTAGATTGAGACAACTAGAAAACTAATTAAACTGTAGTAATCATTCAACTTAGTAATAATTTCAGAAGGCTGAGGTGCTAAATAAGTAAGGTTTTTTTGCATTGATGTGCATGGATATATTTTTAAAGAGATTTTTCTAAAAATTTTCTAAAAAAGTTTTGTTTTCTAAAAAGTTTCTAAAGATAGCACTATTTTCTCTTAATTAAAACGACTACCAATATAATGAAGACAATGTCAGTCAATAAATAAAAATTTTAATATGTTAAATATTATTCAGTACAGAACAAATATATCTGTGTTGGAAGAAGTACAGCCAGAGTGTTCCTTGGGAGCCAGGATGGCCAGACTTCGTCTTTCGTACTTCAGAAATATTGTCAGGACAGACCAGTCCCTGGAGAAAGACATCATGTTTTGTAAAGTGGAGGATTAGAGAAAAAGAGGAAGACCCTCAACAAGATGGATTGGCACAGTGGCAGCATCAATGGGCTCAAACATAGCAACGATCCTATTGGCCCAGGATCAGGCACGGGCAGTGTTTCATTCTGTTGTGCATAGGGTTACTATAAGTTGGTACTGACTCGATGGCACTTAAAAACAACATGTTCACTTAACAACAAAATGTTCTTTCCATTGTTTAAAATTATATAATTTGATAGGTCACCCAATCAAAAATATAATGAAAATGTTGCCTCTAAAAAGCTTTCCCCAGCCTCTCAACCACAAAACCTTCCTTTAGACTGCATTATACCTTGAAGAGATTAATATTACAACTCTCACCCATCAGTCTATAATTACTTAGGTGTTCACTGTTCATCAGGCATAGGTATATAATCTAGTGACTGTACTGGTGGTATACTGAAATATCTATTTAATGTTGCCAACAGGAGGCCAGAAGCATCCCCAAGGCAAAGGGACCATTCCATGTGTATTCATGTCATGCTAGTTTGCCATCACAGCATCAGACTGATATATCAAATGTTATTCATCAATAAACATTTGAAAAAAAAAAAAAAAAGAACTAAAATGAATAGAGAGAAATACTGTTGACTGATGGTACATGGATGGATAATCATTGTAATGAAACAAAGTATATGATTTGTTGAATGTAAAACTGATGATCTGCCCTGTAAACTTTCACTCGATTCATAATAAAAAATAAAAATAAATTTAAAAATCTGATGAATCAATGAGGAAAACACACAGCATATAGAGAAAGGGAGCAAGCAATCCAGGGAAGCTTTGCTACGTTAGAAAAAAAGAAACACAGCCATTCACTTAAAGATTCATTAAACAGCTACTATATGATTTATAAACTAAAAAAAAAACAGGAAGGAGACGGACAAATTTGGGACAAAGAAAGATCAAATACAAAAAAAACCCACAAAGATTGTGAAGCAAGTATTGGCATCAAGGAAGAACTGAAAAGAAAAATGTGCAATACGATAACATCAACAACTTAAAGCAAACATGTGGCACCATAAGGTAAGCACTGGACTACTAACCACATGGTCAGTGGCTCAAATTCACCAGCCACTCCTTAGAAATACTATATGTGGTCACAGTGAGTCGGAAACGACTCGACAGCACTTAAAAATGAAATAATTCAGGGTCTTGACAAATCAACAAATATTGGTCCCAAAAGCTTTACCCCATTTACACCATTATGGTTGGCTCTATGATGAGAAGTCATATTCTGAGTGCCTTCCAATATGAGAGCTCATCTTCTAACATCGTATCAATGTTGAACTATTGTTCATAAGGTTTTCCCTAGCCAATTGTGTATTT